TGCGCCACCATGCCTGAGTTCAGGGTGGCACGGTGCGCCAGAGGTTCCTGGGCTGGCACAGCATGCGGCACCAGGGATCAAACCCAGGTCCTTGTGCTTGCCAGGCAGGCACTTAGACTGATGAGCTACCTCCCCAGTACCCCTCTTTATTTCAAACCCACTGATCCCTTTGTTCTTTGAAACTATCCAGAGCAACATAGTGAGTCCCCCTCCCCCAACCACTTTCTGAAGCAGTTCTGAATGTTCTCTTCAGTTGCACTGTTGTGGTCACCTTGATGTCCAGTGCCATTTTTAAATGTTTACCTGTCCTGGTCGTTTTGACTTTGGGAAAATCCAAAAGTGGCATGGTAGTAGATCCTGTGAATGGGGTGGGTGAAACTACACTGTAATGTTTTTGTTTTTGAGACAGGGTCTCACTATGTAACGCAGGCTGGCCTTGAATTCACAGTGATCCTCCTGCCTTAGCCTCCCGAGTGCTGGGATTACAGGTGTGCACCACCATGCCTGTCCCACTGTTACGTTTTTATGAGCTTGCCTTTCTCTTGGATGGCACTCGGAATGGCAGTAGCATTCACTGTATTGTTGATCACACTTTGTAAAGACACAAATGAGGCCTTCCAAAGCTGCTTCAGAAGTAGCAAGAACAATGGGCTAAGTGTGTTTGAATAGGAAGGATTGTGAACAGGATTAATGGCAATGTGTCTTTAATACTTTTTTGTTGTTGTTGTATTTTAGGCAAGGGTCTACAGGGTATTCAGGGTCTCACTACTAGATGGGATTTCTAGTGATCCACCTGTTTAAACCTCCCAAGAGCTGGGATTACAGGTGTGCACCACCGTGCCCAGTCTCAATTGCTGTCTCAGTGCGCCCCTGGGGAAGGGACTGGACACTGAACCCCCAAGCCCCTGCGCCTGCTTGCAGGTACTTTAATTCACTGAGCTATTTGGCCGGCCCTTTTTAATATATTTTTAAAGGCTGGATATTTACCTTCTATTTTTAATCATACCTTATAATATCTAAAAGTGTACGGTTGGATGAGCTATTTGAGGATGAGAGTCTGGAGGACAAGGGGCTCATCTTCGGAACATGCCTCTCGCTAGGAGAGTGGAAGAGGGCCCTGTGAGCAAGGAGCGAGGAGAGGGGGAGAACACACCTGTGTAAAAACTGAGAGCGTAGTGAGTTTTCAGGACTTAAAGGAATCACGAGTTGCAGCTAGCTTAAAAATAAAAGGGGCTGGGAAGATAGCTCAGTGGAATAAGGGCTTCCCTGGCAAGTGCAAAGGCCTGAGTTCAATCCCTGGTTCCGCCAAAAAATAAATAAATAAATAAATAAATTAATAAATAAAACATTTGCAAATAAATAAAAAAACTAAGAAGAAATCTCTGGGTTTGGCCACTAGGAAATCAGTGATGACTTAATGAGAGAATAACATGTGGAAGGAAAAACAAGGGTGTAGTGCCAAGGAAGGAAGGGTATAGGGTCCTGAGAACATGCTGTAGTGTAAGAAGTTCCCAGACAAAAGGACAGAGGTAGGATGGTGACTCCAGGTGCAAGCAGAATTGCCCTTCTCCAGGGAACTATCTACTTGCCCGTGATTATTCAGATGATTATGAGTATATACTTTAACCACTTAGCAGTCTATTTAAATACAGGATGACCAGAAATTAATATTGTTTCATTTATTTTTATAAGATAATAGAAAGGGCTGGGGAGATAGCTCAGCAGCAAAAGTGGCCTATCTGGCAAGTGTAAGGTCCTGAGTTCAATCCCCAGTGCCAAAACAAAAACAAACCCCCCCAGGAAATATACAAATGGAAGCTTTGTCAAATTTTGTGAATATTTTCTGTGTATGATATATCTTAAAATATTTAATACACAATGCCATTTTATAATCTGGACAGAAGTATCTAGTCTTTTTCCAAATTCTTTTTGCATGATTATCTTTCTTTGAACAACACACTTTATTTTCACTGTTGGATTTTCCTTTTTTCCTGTGGATGGTTATTTCAGTAAAATGTTTACCCACTAGATGTAATGGTGAAGATGCTGATGATGGACCTCTTGGGTGGTGTTTTGCAACCCTGTACTTTTCAATTATTTGGTCTATTAGAATTAATCTAAATTATTAATGACTTTTTGAGCTCCCTTGCTTTGAATAAATAACAAACAAGTCCTATAGTTTTTGGTCCAGGAGGTATGTAAATATTGTATAATATTTCTTCCTTGCTTTTTGATTACAGAAAAGCTTGTTAAATGTTGGCCAACTCTGTCCACGCTACCCATATAATTATTATAATCATTGACTGCTACTGGGGACAATTTTAGTTTCATTACTTCTTTCAAACTTATCATTTCTGTATTATGAAAAACTGGCAATACGGAGATGTCTTTTTTGTCTTTCCATTTTATAACACAGACTTTTCTCTCTGCTACGCTAACATTCCTCCCTTTTTCAGTTTTTTTCTTTTGCAGATCTTTTGGCATTCTTTGCTGTTCAGTCCCAGTGTCCCAAATGTGTCTGTTTCACAGTTTAAAAGAATATCACTGAGTTTTGGAGAAGTATAAAAATTATACCTATTATCTTTAGGATGAGAACTTTTATAAATTACAGCACAAATTGCAGGTTATTTTTCACAGAATAAACACCAATTAAGTAAAAGAAAATAATCAGAACTTACTAGATTTCTCTAGGAACAAGTATCGAAAGTGAACACAATGTTCTAGATAAAAAGTATGCAAAAAATAGTTAATACAAAACAAATAAACATGCACTAGTATAACTTGCACAAACAAGAATCAACTGGTTGAAATGATGCCTTTTCTTGGCAATGCCAGGGGTAGTTAGTATGTAAACAACCACGCTTCCCGAGCAACCCTCAGGGTAAACTGTTTAGTGGTTAATAGAAGGCAGTTAGTGGAAAGAGGCCAGAGAGGCTGTGGAGAAATTAGGTGGAAGCCAGGCTCCCGCCATCCCGAGGTTGCAGAACACATTATCTGTATGTGTACAGCAGCATCTGTGTTTGCAGAGACAGAGCTTATTTATCATGTGACCACAGGCTGAGCGCGGGAAACCAGAAACTCCTTTCTCACTTAGGCAAACAAAACTTCATCCATTTGTTGAGAAGTATTCAGAAGCTTGGAGAAAGCATTTTAGCCAAGAAGGGATGCAAAGATAAACAAGCACGTGATGTCCTCCCTTCCTTGGCTTTTGTACCCAAATGTACATTAGGAAAATGCCCAGATGCACCATTCAACACTCCAAACAGTACTGCTAACATTGCCTGAGTTTATGAGCCTTCCATGATCTCTTTAGTCCTCACAGGATCCCTGTGAGGCATTACTTTTCTATTTTACAAGAAAAGAAACTGAAGATCAGAAAGAATTAGGAGATATTCCTCCAAATTACCCTGCCAGGAAATGGCAGAGCTCTCCACCCTTGTTCTATTCAGTACATGCTTTAAAGCCACTCACAGGGCCCTCACAGTATGATACCTTAGCTGGGGTTTGACAAGTCAAAGGTTAGCAGCACTCTCATCTCCCTGGTTGGCGGGGGGTGTCTAAAATTCTATCATTAGAGCCTAAAATGGCACTAGTCTTGGCCACTAAACTGTATGCGCCATACGAGTCAACCTATTTTTCCTATGTTCTCTTATCATCCATCCCCATCAGAAAGACCTCTGGAGCAGGAGGGGTCTTTTCTTCCTCCCACCTCCGGCCAGTTCTGTCAAGCCTCTGAAGTGCACAGATCGGTCTTGTCCCCTGTTCCTGCTCTAGGTGGTCAGAAGGCGGGGCAGCAGCTCCCTTCCTCAACACTTGGCTTGACCCAGTAGGGAGAGG